ATTACAGTATCTTGAATTTTCCCAATAGCAAGCAAGCTAATTCTTTTTAGACTACAGTCTATCACTGATCTAATGGAGGGGGTTGTCTTAGATATGATCACAGAACGCAGATTCTCGTTTTTATATTATCATATTTTTGTTTTTCTATTAGTGAAGAAATATTTAATAAATTATTTACTTCTATCTCTTTGTACATTTCCACGTCAATCAAGCTGTACAAAAAACGGGATTGGAATACGGAAAGTATAGCAATATCGCTTTCCCTTGTCATATTGACCTAAACATGGACATAGACACTGGGTCTTAATATTTTATGTAGTAAATGAAAAATGTATTCATCAGGGAAAAATAAAGCTCTTTATCATTTAAAATTGGCATGGAAATGAAATCACAAGTGAAATATTATCGACTACACTAAATTTTAACTTACAAAAATATTAAGGACTTATATCCCATCTACCACATAATATGGTAAATTGTCTTCTTATTATTATTTAAAAAAACGTTGCCTCCACACTAGGATTTTCTCCTGTATCGTAGGGGCAGTTTGCATACATAAATTTCACAGGGAAAAACATCCAGACCCGAAACAATTATTTATAGGCCCTACAAATATTTGTTCCGTGCGGGAATCGAACTCGCGGCCCTTAGCGTTGTGACTCATTGCTAAACTACTGCGCTAGAAAGCCGCCAAATCTTTAATTTAATTTAATACAATACGAAGAAGTTATTCATAAACATTATCATCACTACCACGTCCACAGCCATCAAGTCCACAATATAAGCCTCCTCTAACGAATACCACAAAGCTTGGCTCGAAGCCAAGTGCATTCATCGACATTCTGCATGCCTTACCAGATCGTCACACCGTCTAGTGGGGGCCGGCTTTGAAGAGCCACCAACTGATGGAAAAGAAGAGCTCTATAGTGGCAGCCTCATCAAATGAAGTGATTCGCTTATATTTTATTATGTTTTATTTAAAAAAATCGAGTAAGTTGGACAAAATATATAAAGATTGAATTACTTTTATTATATTGTCATTACACTAGAATGTTATAACTACCCACGTATCGCCAGTGAAATTCATTCGTCTGTGCGTTTTATTACTCAATTTAAAAACATTTGATGATTCAAATTTGGAATTTTTTAAATAACATATTATGTTTTTTATATAATATTTCAACTTTTTAATAAAATTGAAGTACAAAACGAACTTACAGTCAGCCTGATAATATGTGGCTGCTGCAGCCCATTGTCACCTGCAACAAATTTATAATAAAGAAACGGAGATTGAATGTCTCCAATTGCTTTTAATTATATTGGCTCACCTTGCAGAGCCTTCATAGGCTACCCTTCGGACCGGAACACGGCAAAGCACGCATTGCTATTTGGAGGTCTTACCAGATGGACATCTAGGCATAAAAGTTACTGTCAAGAAATATAAGTGTACAATATAAGGCATGTATAAAGAAAAAAGTATTTTGCTAGTATATTCTAAATTATAGGGCATTAGTCCAGAAACTTGTACTTGTAACGATCATCTTTTTTTTTGCCGCAAATTTGCCGCAAGCTCTAGCGTCTCGTGTTACTCACGCAAATATTTGTTCGTTATTTAATCGCCGCCGACAGGATTTTGCTTATTTTATTTTACTAAGCGCGCTTTTCAGTTTTCCCTCATCTGGTTAGGTTTTCGCTAAGATAAAATAAAAGAATTGCTTTGATATATATATAAAAAAAAAACTCTGTTTCATTTCATTGTTACTTACCTATTTATTTGAAATTACATAACAAACTGTATGAAAACATTCATAGTATTTTATAACTGTTATTTGAAGTGATGAAACATTTGTTATAAAAGTTTTTGATATTGGGAAATATTTTTGATTTGTAAAACTAATCAAATTTAACATTCATAAATATTTTAATTTGAAGCTTTGTACAGCTGAATTAACATTTACAAAAATTTCTTAAAAAGAACTTAAAATAAAACTTTTTCGCAGAATCAATCTCGGTGTGCAATTTTAATGTTGAACAAAATCTTTGTAAGCACTATTCATTTCTAAATATAAGAAGCAATAAGAGATCAGCATAATCTCCGCTTTCTTTTATAGTCAGTGTCAGTGAAACATGACACAGAAAGATCGAAGGAATGTATTTTTCACTTTCTGCATAATTGTGGCATCTATATTTCTAACGATGATTTCTTCTAAATAGAGTTATGTTTTAAGGAATGTTTGACTCTATTCGAAATATAAATTTATCTATACTATAATAAAACTCTAACACGACTTCTTTCTGAACACGCATCACGCAAAAACCTGTGAACCAATTTGGATGGGACTCATTGGCAGATAGCTGATGTTATAAGGAGTAACTAAGGCTACTTTTGTTTTAGGAAAAAAATTAGGGTTCCACGCAAAAAAATTAAAACCCACACAATTAAAATCCAAATTCCACGCGGACGAAGTCATGGAGAACAGCTAGTTCTTAATAAATTGAATGATGTATCTAAACATTTAATATTACTAGTTTTGTTAGCAACATATCTTCAAAATCCCATTTTCATTCATTCTTTTTCATATATTTTATTTGTGATTTTATTGTTACTCCGCTTTGATGATTGCGCACATTTACGATCACTTAATTCAGTGATTATTTATTCATCCAATATACTGCATGTCGTATTTCGTTTTGATTCTGAACATCATCTAATGCCATTTATATTGATATTCGTATTTGATGATAATAAGGTGGCCGTCTCTACGTTTTCATCAATGCATTTTAACTTTATAGTTATGTAGTACCTGAGTACGAAAATGAATTGCTACAATAATCTTACAAAACTTGATAACACAAGTTATCAAATTTCTAGAGATAAATTTTATTAAACAAAATTCATTAAAAGAAATTGGTGTGCCGTAGTTTACTATTATTTTTATATGAATGTTTGTGTCTTGCTATGTTATGAAAAGATAATATTATGTATATTAAACGAACAATATATGAACATATTATGTAGTTTCATTATGAATTTCATATGACTCATGACTCACAGTAGTGTTCGGTAGACTGTGCATTTATCTATGTGCATTTTTGGAGTAACATTTCAATATAGTGGTGGATATAGTTATACTATGCTTCAGTAAAGGTCTCTGCTTTGGATGGGCAAAAGGTAGGGCGAGGTGAAGATAATAAAATAAAATATTTGTATTCACATCAATAATATGGTTTAATAAGTCAAGACTTACAAAGGAGTAAAAATATATTAGTCTATGAAGCAAAGAAAATAAAAAATTTCCAGTTTAATTCACTAATCGTAGTAAAATCATAGATAAATTTAACAATATTCGATTAAGCCATGTACATACTATATAATATTGTCCAGGTGACATCTCGTGCGATATGTTATTATTTTTTTTATATAGAATAAGGGTGACAAACGAGCACACAGTCCACCTGATGGTAAGTGGTTGCTGTGGCCCATATTCTCATTCCTTTAATTTATTGGGGAAAGCAATAGGTGCCACATACGTCATATTTGTGAAATAGATACAGGTGCTGCTTGTGGGAGCTAATTTGCTTGGGTTTGATATGCTCCGATTAAATGCAAATTTGTACAGCTAGTATTTTTTTGTTATATAATTTGATGTTTCATGCAAAATAAAGTATAGCATTTATATAATTTTCATATTTTGATCGTTTTTTTCAAAAGGATAAGTGTGACAAGCGAGCGTGCACAGTCCACCTGATGATAAGTGGTTACTGTGGCCCATAGACATTTACATCTATCCTAGTTTTAGAATAAAATGCAGATACGTTGTCAGCCGTGAGGACTAAGATGGAATGTCTCCTTTCCAGTAAAACAATAAAAAGGTTCTCCAAAAAAAGGATAGGTATATTATGTTTATATAATATTTCTGAGTTCTTTCACCGTTTTTTTTCATGCATCTATTACAGACCTGTTGCTGAATATTTACTTCCTCATTTTATTGCCTTATAGGATTGTGTCATACTTGCCACGATTGGCAAGTGGGTTGGCAACAGCAGTATTTTACTATAATGAGTAGTTATTAGGAAGTTGCTGCTGCCCATCTCCAGTTTCCGTTTACCTCAGTCACCTCTTACGATACCCACGGAATGATAACTGATATGGATCACATTAGTTCACACTTTCTCATCATCAACAGAAAATATGTTTAACAAACTGAACTTTAATTCATAGTTAGAAAGATAATTTTTATAGATGTAATATTTCATTTGGTTAGTGATTATCTGCATTATTTTGTTTTGCAGTTAATAGAAAATTATTGCTGTTATTATGGTTATTACTCATTGCTGAACTCTAGGTAGTATAATATAAAATTAAAAATTTTGTACAACTGACTTCAACAAAAATTATTAAGAATAACTCAAAAACTATTAGTCAGACATTGATTAAATTGCGAAAAAAAAAAACAACGAAATCGGTTCACACAGTACGCAATTAAAAAAACAGACAGTCGAATTGAATACCATCTCATTTTTGAAGTCGGTAGAAAATATTAACTTTTTAATTTTTTATAACTTCTGATACACGTAGGGGAGAGGTGGTATACTTGATCCCTGTTTTGGTTTTCTTTTAGTAATACTAACCATTTTCATAAATCTGACTTTCTTTTAAATCACACATGTATTTCCGTTCAATACTACTGATTTAGCACCAATACAGACCTTCTTATTTATTAAAAAAAACGACAAAAAGGGTTTTTTTAAAGTCCGACACAAGGATCAAGTAACCCTCCCTATGGGGATACTTGATCCCGGTGAGTGGGTTGTATGATCCCGGAGGATCAATCATCCCACCCGTCAAAGTTTCAGCCATAGGCTTACCTAAATATGGAAATTAAATAAACTTAGGTCTACTTTTAATAAGTTGTAATTAACGATTCGAAAGATGAGTAGGTACAAAATGAAAACAACATAAAAAAATTGAAAACACAGACAAAAAATAAATGAGAAAATTATTCGAGAAGTGGCACGGAATAAATGTCACGTGTTTTTGAAAATTTCGTCGGCTCCGGCAAGTGTCCCAAAATGTCACCCCACACATAAAATATTTCGTCTTCCCTTGCTGGCCACTTCCAAAGCCTTCCACTTTTTTCCATTGCTTTTATTGTAGCCCCGTTTTCATGTATTTTTGTAATTTTTCCTGGGTATGACAAACCATTGTAAATTGCAACTACAAATTCCCCTACTTCTTTTCTGATGGGCTCAAAAGCTCTATGACCCTCGCCATCACTGCATAACTCTTCTTCCCCCCCTGACGATGATGGAAGTGGAGGACATTCATCAGAATCAGATGAGGTGTCATCGTCAATTTTTTTTAGTGAAAAGATTTGTCTCACTGTTTTCTTGGTAGGCCTATTTTCTTTAATCTTCCTTTTCATTTCTATCTCTGCTATCTTCGCCAACTTTTTATTTGATTGTTCTTCGATGGTTGCTTTTTCCGGAGTATCGGTTAGGATGCGAGTACGTCCTCGCTTTCTCCCGCGCGACGACTGCGAGCGTGGACCTGCCTTGGGGTAGGGCATGATGTCCTGTGGTGAAAAGTGCATCGGCACTGATCCTCCAAGTGAGGATGGGGAAGCGCGTTCACTCACACTGCTGCTTTGTACGGGCTCCTCAAGTGGAGAAGGGAGAGGGCAGTCCGACGCTATCACACTTCTCTGTGTTGGTTCTTCAAGTTGAGAAGGGGGAGGGCGGTCCGTAACTAAACTGGTCATGAACTCACTCTCCGTGAAAATGTCGGCATTTATGGGCCATATTCCAGCCGCCCTGAAGCCACTAATTATATTGGTAGGCACCATAGCCCTTGGGAAAGCTTCCCCTAATAGTTCCGAAACGTCGTAGATTGTGATTGTTCTCCCGGGGTGTCTCAGCATAAAATTTGATGCTGCCTGAGAATAAAAGGTTTTTAAGGGGCCAAAAACAGTCCTGTCTAATGGCTGCAGCTTGTGGGATGTGTGTGGTGGAATTGTGAGAAGAACGATTCCGTTGTCTTTTGCGTAGTTGAGGGCGTCGAAAGAACAATGACTCTCGTGATTGTCCATGATGATGAGGTGTTTCCTATCAGCGTTGGGTTGAACATGACGAACAAAATGCTTGAGGAATTTTATAAAACTGTCGCCCGTCATCCATCCACTAGGATGAGTAGTTGCATCGCTGCTAGGAGGGGCATGATTGAGGAACCTATCCTGCCAGTTTTTTCGGGGGAATATCATGTATGGCGGGATGTGGCCCCCGGCAGCGTTGATACAGGCACAAACGGTAACCAGCTCACCTCGTTCGGCCGATGTCATTTTTCCTACTTGTTTGGAACCCTTAACTGCAATAATTTTGCTGGGTTTATGGACAGTTGTTACCCCTGTTTCGTCAATATTCCACACCCTTTCGGCAGTAAATTCGTGCTTATTAAAAACTGCAGTCAAATTTCCAAAAAATTCCGCCACGGTGTGTTTATTAAACGCTGTCGCTCGCGCCAAGCTGGTAGGCTCTGGAGTTCTTAAGGATAGAGTTTGCTGTCTCTCCAAAAATCCACGATACCAATCGCGACCCGCCTGTTGCGAGTGATCCCATGAAGAGGGGTATTTCATCTTATTTGCTTTGGCGAATTGGTAAGCTACCTTACGCAATTGTACAACGGTAAGTCCATAATACATTTTAGACATATGAACAAGATACGCTCCTAGCTCATCCTCGTGACGATTGGACAAAATTTGTCTATTGGTAAAACCAGGTTGAACATAAGAGTCTCGACGGCATAGCCTTTTAAGTGTCATGACATTAATTTTAAATTCTCTTGCGACGGTTTTGTAAGCAGCTCCATCTTTAACTGCTTGGACCGCATTTTTCAAGGCCTCCGGGTCGTAAGGTACCCTCTTCATGGCTCCTTGCTTCGATACGTACTTCCGCGGCATCTAAAAGAACGGAAGTTATGAGATTTACTTCTTGACCCAAACAAAAGAATTATAGGTGGGATACTTGACTCCGGGATCAAGCATCCCCCTAGCAAAAGGGATCAACTATCCCGAAGCAGTAACTTTATTTAAAATGAAAAAAAAACAGCAACAAGATGAAAACATTTGACTCGGAAATAATTGAATTTACACAGCTAAATACACACAATATTTCATAAATACAAACAAAAAATTGTAAAGTACACGTACCTGAAGTTTTTCGAATTGTCGTACACTAAACAAAACAAGTAAGATCCGGTAAAAACATAAATTTCCAATTATTTTGGCAACGAGCTGTTGTTTCGGTTTAATGTTTACTATTTGTACTTGCCATCATGGCGGCGTCCCAATGCAGCCAACAGAACACCTTAAAACACTTTTTGGCGCTAGTTTTAAATGGGGGATCATGTATCCTCGGGGATCAAGTATACCACCTCTCCCCTACAGATATAGTTTAATATATTTATGCGTATTTACGACCCGGTAAGACGTGCAAGAAGTCAACTGATTCAAGTGGCTCAGGACCATGTTTTGTGGCATTTTTCTGGGAGGTCTTTGTTCAACAGTGGACTTGATAAGGACTGTAATGATAATGATGATAAAAGTTTAATATTAGGCTCATTAGTGTAGTAGCGTAGCATCTACATGTATTTGCTAAGTCACTATACACACATCAACGATATGTATCCGTTATCGTTACCGCAACAGTCCATTAAAGTCCACTGCTGAACATAGGACTCCCCTAACGGATAACACAAAGCATGGCTCTAAGCCACATAGATCCATCGAATTTCTGCATGCATCATCAGGTCATCACTTCATCTTCTAGGCCCGGCCATATAGTTTGAATAGCCAACAACCAATGGGGATGGGGAGGCTCCTTAGATTGCCTCATAGGGGGGATATTTGCCATAGTTTGGCTGGTTGGTATCCGCAGTTTTTTTTTAATTTTTAGTCGTTATTAGGAAGACTGCTGCCCATCTCCTGATTTGTTTCCCTTTGTCGTCTCTTACGACAATTACCCGGTGCGTTATGTATCACCTACAAATAATTGTTCCAACGATTATTTGTGACAATGAAAGCGTATTGCATGGTCTAAGATCCATGTTATACGCTTTCACGATACGGGGAAATTCTTCTTCTGTTTAGGAAAAATTACAAAATAAATAGATTCCTTTCACGAAATTTACCTTTAAATGTTTTAGCATTTAACCTCACTAGGTTAAGCAAGATAGACTGTAGTAATCTAGCGGTATTTTAAAAATCAAAAAAAAAATCTTATTTAGTATAATCAATGGATAATTGATCCCAAGTGTTAGCTTTGCTACAATTCTAGATGAATATACCGGGTAAAATCCGACCCGTTTCGCTGAAATGCGAACAACATAATTTTAATATCAAGTTTTAATTTAGTTTAAAAATAAATCGCTATAATGTTTTTGTAAATGTAACTAAAGTGCCGAAATTCTGTACAAAAGTTTTATTGATACGTGTATTTTATTTTTTTAGGTCGAAAAACTATACACATTGTTGGGAATGAGGGTAAAAAAGTAAAAATAAATACGAACAAATGAAGGTAGAATGATAATCTCCCACTTGTTTTAGCAGTATAAAGTATCGCACAGGCGAATAAGAAGCTTCAGTCCATAGAATACTGTATATATACTAGAGACAACAGTCTGTAATAAGACTCCCACTGTCGTTACTATGCCCGTTGGGGTATTCTACTAGTGTAGGCAAGTGTTATGTGGCAGAGACAAGCATTGTTTTAAAAATAAATTTATTTAATACTTTTAAACTAACTTAAAATATAGTAGTTGATACAGAGAACTTGGTTATGGAATTGTCTTGAGGGATCGAAAGATTTGGTTTAAATAGTGTTGGAAGCTAGGAGGTGGGGTTAAACATAAATAGACTACATTGTTCTTGGTGTTTTGCTTAACTTATGGTAAACTTTAAACATTAGCATATAATATTACAATCGAACTAGTGTGGCTTCTAAGGAAGTAATTTATTAAATAAACAATATAAACTATACAGGTCTTATAATATAAAGTAAACAGTATCCTATTACATAACATTCGTTTGGCTTTTAAGAAAGTTATTTTTTATATAGTATAGGGTGACAAACGAGCATACATTCCACCTGATGGTAAGTGATTACTGTGACCCATAGACATCTACATCTATCCTCAATAAAGACTCAAGATGCAGATGCGTTGGCACCCGTGAGGACTAAGATGGAATGCCTCTTTGCCAGTAAAAAGGGTCTCCGGTTCTCTACACTCACCATACGAAACACAGTAGCGTTAAGCTGCTATTTTACGCTGGTTTTCTGTGAGAGCGTGGTCCTTCCCCGGTCGAGCCGACCCATTCATGCTACAACTATAATATAGCTGCAGCATGGCTCTACCACGTCGTATAACTTATAGTAAACTATAAACATTAGCATATAATATTACAATCGAACTAGTGTGGCTTCTAAGGAAGTAATTTATTAAATAAACAATATAAACTATACAGGTCTTATAATATAAAGTAAACAGTATCCTATTACATAACACAAGGAAGGTCGTGTTGTTGAGAGGCTGCCGTGTTGAGATGGGTAGTGATGCTGTTGGTTTGCATACTTTGATGTTATCATGTAATTGGGGTCCTGATAGTAAGCAGTTCTCTTTTATTCATTGTTCATTCTTTTAATCAGTGTTATTTTATTTAAATACTTTTGAGGACAATTTCTAACATCAGAAGTGGAATAGTTTACTACAATATATATATATATATATATATATATATATATATATATATATATATATATATATATATATCATTTCATTATAGATAATAAAATACATAAGAAAAAAGATTTTTTTTTATGTTTTGTTGTTTCATTTTGACTTTCATTAAAAATATATAATATAATATTTGACTTCAAGAAAATTACAGAAAAGTGGATATCTGCGGAGTTTCTTGCGTCGTTTCTTCTACGGTCAGAGAAACCTCATTTTCAAACGGAGTTAATTTAAAAAAAATACATTAGACAAATGACATTTTATTTTCTAAGGTTTTTTTTTATAGGAGAGGGGCAAACGAGCATGCCGCTCAACTGATTGTAAGTTACTACCGCCGCCAATGTTCAACTGCAACACTTTGCAACACTTGAATTATAGATGCGTTGCCGGCCTTTTAAAAAGGAGTAGGCTATTTTCTTGAAGGTCCCTAAGTAGTTTTGGTCGGGAATTATCACTGGTAGTAATCGATTCCACAAGGAAGTTTTGCGAGGAAGAAAACTTCTTCTAAATCGCACAGTGGTGGACCGCCAATCATTCAGATTTTTAATCTGAATCAATTTGAAGAAATTGAGCGGCTGGAATTAGTCCGAACAATTCCTCAGAGCACTCCCCGTGATAGATGCGATAAAATACGCAAACAGACGCAACATCTCTATGCAGTGCCAGTGAGTCAAACCGATCAGAAAGACAAGGTCGTCTACGATTTGAGCCGCTTGGCGCTTGATGCGGTCAAGTGGAAGGGGCTGGCGCTGGGGAGCCCCTGCCTCACATGGAATACTGTTCCCTTGTCCAGACATGTTCCATGTGAGGCTGAACCCGCGCAATGTAAAGTTGCAAGCGGTGTGCCGTAATGAAATACTGTCCCACTGAACTTTCTTTGATGCTCCGATATGCAATAAAAGTGGTGATCCAATTGCACAATTTCTCGGGAAGCAATTTTTCAGGAGTGACTAAACCATGGCTGAGTTCTACCGATAGGTACCACAGATGATGGAATAAATAATTCCATTTCCTGAAGTACCACATCGGCAACAAAGTCAGTAAAAAAGTTTGTATCATCCGGCGAGAAGCAAATCTGCCCCCAAGGGTAGGATGCAAGAAAAACCGCATCCCGTCCTAATCGGTCGACCCATAGTGCCAAACACGGCGGCAAGCTGCAAATCCCAAATGCGATGGGAGCGTTAGTGGCATCGTACTCCGGATCAGACAATGGTCCGAAGAGGGGCATCGACGGAAACCTGATATCCGTCCGAGGTCAGCAGAATGTCCAACAGGGAACATCTGGGATCCGCGTAGGCGAAGTAACCAGTTGTGTCAGATACATATACTTAAGGCAAAGTCATAAACAGATTTACTCGCATGATCGGTTAAACGGGAACCAACCATCTAGCGTGGTGTGCGTTAAAACCACCGAGCATCACGATCTCTGCGTATGGGACCTGTTGTAGCAGAGCAGCAGAGTCCGCAGCCATTTTGACGTGGTCGATGAGTCGATCTGTGTCAGCATTATCACTATGGGATTTATTGAGGCACCGGTAGACGCGGGGATGGTCGTTACTGTCTACGCGCTATGTCTTGGAGCCATAGGATGGAAAGGTTCGTACCTTCAAGAAAGCCGAAAACAGATGTCCTCTCGTACTTACACGCAAACTCCAGCCCGAGGCACAAAGGAGTGTTCTAATCACAAGCAGGTTTCGTCTTGAGCAGTATTCCCCCCCCCCCCTCCATCCCGGTTCGAGCCAGCCCATCCGGGCGACAGCTAAAGCTGCCGCGTGGCACTACCACAGTTTCATTACGTAAAATATATCATTTCATTTCAAATAGATTCTGCACCCATTCAAACGTCAGCCCACCATGGCGGGTATGATCATATTTTAAAATTATTATCAAATAAATATTGTACTATTTTGAACTTGCACAGTTATAAAGTTATAAGTATCTTACCTAAAACATCAAAAAAACCTTTTCGTCTAAGTGTAACTACCGTGTGACATTTCTTTTTTTTTATAGGATAGGGTGACAAACGAACACACAGTCCAAGTGGTTGCTGTGGCCCATAGACATCTACATCTATCCTCGTTTGCGAATCAAAATGCAGATGCGTTGTCACCCGTGAGGACTAAGATGGAATACCTCTTTTCCAGTAAAAAGGGTCTCCGGTTCTCTACA